AGAGGTCAAAGGTAGTGGCTTCCTTGGGGCCAGGTCTAGTCCTGGGGCCCAGTACCGGGAATTCGGGGCTGACCTCTGCTCTAGGGGAAGCAGCAGGGCCCTGTAGAAACTCCAGGAAGAAGGAAGCAAGGTTATACCCCTGGTATAACCATCAGTGTTAGCGATCCCCAAATCTCTGCAGCTGGATCATGGGATTTAAAGCTGGAAGGAACCTTAGATCATTCTGTCGAACTCCCTCCTTTCACCTGAGGCCCCAGTATCACATAGATAGATACCAGTACTTCACTAGATACTAAACTGCAGTCAGAATACATGTGCTTTGACTCTTAAATCCTTCTGCCTCTCTTGGGAGTTCATATCACCCACTTCAGCTTCTCCTAGAAATGATGTGTGGCATGAGCTTATTGTTTTGAAACTAAAGTGAAATTTAAGAGGATTTCACGTTTCTCCTTCCTTTCTCTCTGCCCTTCTCTTTGTCCCCCATTTCCCCTTGAGATAACTGGGAACCTCTGAAAATCCTGATATTGCAGGGTTGAGTTTACCATCTCAAGGCCAAACCCAGATTTTGAGTGTCAATTTATGATTTTTCTCGTTCCTATGCTGCCCTCTTGTGGCAAGCTGTAGATTTTACTTTTTCTGAGACAACCCAGTATTGCTTAGGGGGATCAGTAAAGGTTGCACTCGTGGGTACCTGGGACCGAGGAGGGAGGGGACACTGGAAAGGTGAGGTGAGAGGTGAGGGGACACGAAGGGGGTCTATTCTTGTTCCCCTTTGTCTAGGTCCTGAAGGCAGTAAGCAGTACGTACTCAGTAGGTTCCCTCTGCAGATATCCAGAATCAGGGGTCAGCTTCTGAGAGAGATACTATGCCCTTTAACCTAAGTAATGACCTAAGGACACCTCTCAGTGGAGCAGTAGCTAGGATGAAGCAAATGCTTCCCTGGGCCAAGGCACCAACATTTGGAGACCTCCACTTTCCCTCTTCCTACTCTCTTCTCAACCCTTTATAATTCAATTTCTGAATTTACCATTCCACCTAAAGTGCTCTCTCCTAAGTGACTAATGATCTAGTTGCCAAATCCAACAGCTTTTCTCAGCCCTCATTCTGCCTAACTTCTCTGAAGCCCTTGATATTTATATTGTTGATGGCTCTCCCCTGCTCGACACCCTTTTCTCTCTCGGTTTTCTGGACACTGCTCTCTCCTGGCTCTCCTCCTATCTATCCGAGCACTCCTTTGCTGGATCCTCCCCCAGATCATGCCCTCTAACCTTGAGTGTCCCTCAGGGCTCTGTCCTGGGCCCTCTTCTCTTCTCCCTTTGTACTACTTCACTCAGTGGTCTCATTAGCTCCCATGGATTTAATTACGATTTCTATGCTGATGGTTCTTAAATCTACCTTTCCTGCCCAACTAACTGGATGTCCAGTAGACATCTTAAACTCAATATGTCCAGAAAAAAAACTCATTATCTTTCCCCCTACACCTTTCACACCACCCCTTCCTCCCCAGCCCCAGGCAAACTTCCCTATTACTGAAGAGGGCAACACTGACCTCCCAGTCCCTCTGGCTTGCAACCAAGGAGTTATCCTAGATTCCTCACTATTTCTCATTCTCACCTCCACCCATATCTAAGCTATTGGCAAGGCCTCTCAATTCTACCCTTGCTGCATCTCTCCTCTGACTCTGCCCCCACCTGATGCAGACCCCCATCACCTCTCGCCTGGACTATTGCAACAGCTGCTGGGGTCTGCCTGCCCCAAGTCTCTCCCCACTCCAATCCATCCTTTATTCAGCCACCAAAGTGATTTTTCCTAAAGGGCAGGTCTGATCTTGCCCAATAAACTCCAGTAGCTTTTTCCTATTGCCTCCAGGATCAAATACAAAATGCCCTTCATAATCCAGCCCCCTCCTACCTTTCCAGTTACTTACACCTTCCTCCCGATACTTTTCGATCCAGTGACACTGACCTCCTTGCTGTTCCAGAAACAAGACATTCCATTTCTCCTTCAGGCATTTTCTCTGGCTGTCCCACATATCTGGACGATCTCCCTTCTCATCTTTGCCTCCTGACCTCCCTGGCTTCCTTTTAAGCCTCAACTAAAACTCCCTCTTTCACTGGAAGACCCTCTTAATTCTAGCACCTTCTCTCTGTTCATTATTTCCTTTCCCCCTGTATAGAGCTTGCTTTGCATATATTTGTTTGTATGTCATTTTTAGACATCAGATTGTAATCTAATTACATTAGAGCATAAGCTCCTTGAGGGCAGGGGCTATTTTTATTTTGCTTCCATTTGTATTCCCAGTGCTTAGCACAGTGCCTGGCACATCGTAGGCATTTAATAAATGTTTATTGATTGAGAGGTTATTGATAGTAGTTATTATAGCAGGTATCCTATACTGGATTTGCATTTACATTTGTACAAGGTTTATAATTAAATTGCTATAAAGAACACTTTGTGAGGAAGCCTCTATCAAGGCAAATCAGCCCCTGCTTTGCAACGTATAGTCTCACATTCCAGGGGAGCTAAGAGGTTATGTGTCCTGTGTAGGCTCATTTTGCTAGTATATGTTCGAGGTGGGGCCTACATCTGGCATTCCTTGACTCTAAGGCTGGTTATTTATCCACTACACCATGCTGCCTTATTAACATGAATGATGTGCTAAAATAATAAATTAACATTCTACCCCACTTACTCAAGCAACTGCATGCCAGATGAGTGCCTTGCTGGCCTGGTCTTACCTTGTTTCCTCCCTAGATGGGCCTTATGGGGTACCATGGTCCCTCTCTCCATCCACACAGGACCTTCAGTTCTGCTTACCCAGAGTGCCAGATGAATCACAGCTCTGCCTCCTAACATACCTTACCCTCAGCCACTCGATTCCTTACCCTCTCGCCATCTTTCCCAGGCTGATGGATACTCTTTCCCAGACCTATCATATACCCCATTCCTACTAGATGAGTGCCTTTGTGATTCGCTCTCACAGCAATTAAAGATTGAACGTTTCTTGGTGACCTCTTGCTTGTATAGCTCTGGCTTGCCAGCCTGCTCTCCTGCAGCTCCTAGCTAGTGCATGAAGATGAGTCAATCAGCCCCCAGGGCTGGGACTTGGGTCAGATGCTTGGCATGATCCTGACCTGGAATGGCAAGACAAATTCCAAACTTCTCATGGTGGGGAGATCACAAGCAGGAGGGGAGCTTGGAGGTCACTTAGCCCAACCTCCTCGTTCTGCAGAGGAAACGGAGACCTACAAAGGCAACATGGCCTTCTCAAGGGTCTTATAGCATGGTTAGAACACTGGACTCAGAGCTGGGAAGACCTGGGCTCAACTCCTGCCTTAGAAAAATACATGTTGGGCAGTTTGGGCAGGTCACTTCCTTTCTGCCCAAAGTTGGACAGGTAGTAAGGGCCAGGGGTGGGATTTGCACCCAGGCCATGAGAGAGATCTAGAGTTGGAAGGGACCTCAGAGGGAAACTGAGGTCCCAGGAGGTCAAGTGATTCCTTGAAAGGTCATAGGCAGTCAATATCAAAGTCAATGTCAAAGTCAAAGGCAGGATTTGAAGCCTGGTGCTCTGGGTCCAGAGTCAATGCTATTTATTTCTACTGTACCAAGCTGCCTCCCTTTCATCAGCATGAGGAAACTCCCATTTTGGGAATTCACTCCATCAGTGCTGATTAAAGCCAGTGTTTGATCATAGCACTTAATGGCTTAGTAGATAAATCCTATGGAGTTGCCTGAGGCATGAGACAAGTACTTTGCCCATGGTCACACAGCTAATAAGGGTCTGGGGGAGGATTTGAACCCAGATCTTTTTGCTTCCAAGCCCATCACACTCTCCATTGTTCCAGGCTTTTTTCTTTTCAAGGCCAAAAGCCTGGTCTTGGGGAAAAAGAACTGATCTGGGTTTCAGGAAATTGAGGCTCTGTCACTGTCAGTGTGACTCTGGGCAAGTCATTTCCCCTCCTTGGGCCCATTCTCTTCTGTCAAACAAAGGGCTTAGACACCATCAGTGATCTCTGAGGACGTTTTAGGTAGGTAGCGTTCCTCTGACACTGTGCACGAGAACACAAGCCACTTGGTGGCCTGGGCTATTTCCTTTTTGTTCTTGTACACAGGAGGTGGTTAATTAATTATCATTGGTTAATGCTACCAATAAATGTTGAATTGAATTGATTTGGCCTGAATTAGGATGACCTGAGTTTAAATCCTGGGTGACCCAGTGGATAAGGGCACCCAGAACTGAACGCAAGAAGATCTGAGTTCGAAATAGTCTCAGTCACTTATGTGTTGTATGACCCTGGTTGAGTCACCTAACTGTGGTCTACCTCAGTTTCCCCATTTGTAAAATTAGGATAATAGCGGAACCTACCTCCCAGGGTTATTTACGAGGGGAAAAATAGACGTTTGTGAAATCCTTTGCAAATCTTAAAGTATAATGTAAATGCTAACTATTATTAAATCCTGCCTTAGACATTTGTTAGTGGTGTGACCCTGGGCAAGTCTGTCTAGCTCAGTTTCCTCACCTGTAAAATGGAGATAATAGTAGCACCTACCTCCTTGTGGTGTTGTGAGGATGAAATGAGGTAACATATATAAAACACTTTGCAAACCTTAAAGTACTGTATAAATGCTATTAGTAGTAGTAGGAGTAGGAGTAGTAGTAGTAGTAGTAGTAGCAGTAGTAGTAGTAGTAGTTAGGTTAACCCTGATTGGTATCTCATCAAACCAAACCCTTCTGACCTTTAATTCTGATGAGGATGTATGTGCAGGTATTAGCCAATCAGGATCGCGAAGGCAGGGTGGTCTACAGTACCATTTTGAGAAGCACCGCTTGGGAGAGACAGAAGCACGTTTGGATCTATACCTTCCTCAGATATAGATCTTCATAATCAAGAGAAGGCAATTAATTACATGCAAATGATCTTGATGCCCTTCTATGTGTGCAATGAGAGATGGCCCCGCTGGTGGCGCTGGTTGGGAAGGAAGCGCCAGCAGCTTACCTCTGGGTAAGACCACTCTGGGGAGTAGTCGGTCACCATGAAGACTCGCCCACTCTGCTGCAGCAATCCCAGGGTGCTTTGGGCTGCGGTGGCCGCAGACACCACCTCGGCCACATGCATGTAGGCCATGGTGCCGGCCCCGCTCTCGGCGCTGCTGAGCTGCAGACCGCCCTGCTGGGGGCTGCAGCAGGGAATGCACATTTCGGCCTGGCTGAAGGAGGCCCGGTTGCCATCTTCGGCCTGCGAGAGCCCTGCGCCGTCCCCTGACACGAGCTGGTGTCCGTAAATAGTATTGCTGCCCCCTTCCACCGCGATGAAGTCGTTGATCAGGTCGGAGAACTGGTTGCTAAAGGAGATGTCAAAGTGGTCCAGACTCAGTTCCATGTTGGAAGAGTTGTGAAGGCTGTGGTGGGCCACGGGATAGAGCCCCTGGACCATGTTCCCCTGGAGGATGGGGATGCTGCCCCCGTTCCGGATGCTGCCGTTGGCCTCGGGCTGCATGTAGTGTTCGCTGCCGCAGCTCTGCAGCTCCCCGGTCTTGAGCAGGCTCTCGCCCCCTTCGGCAGGCTGAGAGGTCTCCATGGGAACTTCGGCCTCGGCGGCGATGGTCTGGAAGTTGGCCTGGAACTGCATGAGCTGGAGAGAGGACGTGGACTCTATCCGGGTCTCTACGGAACCGTTGCAATTGGAGGGGGTCGGAGGGGCCTCTGTCTTCACGGTCGCCATTCCTAGCGGCACGAAGGAGCTACTCGCATCGTTGAGGTTAGCGTGGGCGCTCTGTTCTAGGGGGATAGGTTTGCTGGCATCCTGCAGAAAGAAGCTAGGGGAAGGGGTCTGGTGGACGTGGGGGCTGTGGACAGTCTGGCTGAAACTAGAAGCATAGTCTTTGTTGGAGTCTATGGCACTGAAGTCCATTTGCTCCAGGGTGGTGCTTGGACTGAGCCCCCCACCGGACGGGAGCAGGCTGGAGCCAGCGGACAGGGTGAGGGAGTTCGATGTGCTGGAGGACGAATACGCTTCTTTGGACATCTGCTGCTCAAAGGATGTGTCCTCGGTCTTGATTTCCTTCGTGAGCGCCGCGCTGAAGCTGAAGCTGACCCGCTCCGCCGTGGGCGACTGCCTCATATTGGTGCCGATCGTCTCCGCTTTCAGTCCCCCACCCCCGTAGGTCTGTCCCTGTTTGGGATTGTTGAGGAAACAGTCCGGGTCAAAATTCATGGTGGTTTCTGGGATCTTCCGGCCACCATCGAGGGTGGTGGACAGCACCAGCTCTTCGGACACGTTCGCAGGCAACATTGACAAGGCCTCCGCACTCCCTGCGGTGGGGAAGGCGAACTTGTGGCCGTCGGAGCTCACTGCCAGCACCAGGCCCTGGGTGGCGGCGTCCGAGGAGAGCAGGTGTTGGTTGGGGCCGGCTGTGGGGGACATGGTGTACACAGCCTCGTTGGTGACCTCTGACATGAACACGGTGGCACTCTGGGACAAGCTCCCCATCACAGAGGCCACCGCCATACTGGACACCCCTGTGACCACGGGGCTGTCGGCCATGTCTGGGTCACTGTTCAAGCCGCTGCTGATGGACACAGGAGAATTCTGCGTGGTGTCGGGCACCTCCACCTGATTGGTGGAGGACACCTCGGTGCTGTTCTGATGCAGCAGAACGGGCTTCGCAACTTTGCCGTTCCTCTTCTCCCGGCTCGAGGCCTTGCCATGACTGTGCTCATTCTTGCCTTCGGAGACATCATTATTTTGTACCTCTGAGTGAGTGCTGTACCCACCTGTCCGTGGTTCGACCTTTGGTGATATGATGCGATGTTTGGCACTGTTACACTTGTGATGCACACTGCTACCTGCTCCTGTGACCAAGAGAAACACAAGACACACATACACATGCACACACACACGTGCATGCGCACACACACACACACACACACACACACAAGAAAGAGTTAGAGCTGGATCTGTGCTGGGCACTGAGCAACGCTCGACTTGTTTGCCTGGCCAAAAAATCCCAACCTTACTCTACAAAGAGACATAAGCCACACGGAACCCCATACAAGTCATTAAGGGGGAAAAACAAAACCCCCAAACCAGACCTTGACTTTTGGTTCAGATCAGTGAGCCCAGGACAGTATCGTGTTTTGGGGGCTGAAATTTTGTTAGAGGTCAAGGATTGAGTTCCTTCAAAGTCCGCAGTCTAGCATTCTAGGATTTGGCCTCAGTCTACCTTTCTGTTCTTTATTTCCTTCACATACTACCCATTACAACCAAGCTGAATTTCTCACTGTTCCCTCAACATAGTCTCCAAACTTTCACCTCTGTGCCTTCACTCGTGATGTTTTTTTGGTCTGGAATGCCCTCAGCCATCTTTACTTGTTAAAATCCTGTGCATCCTTGAAGCTTACAAGCAAACAAAGGGGAAAATAGTCCAGTCTTTCTAAGCTTATCAACAGTCTTTTATAGATCTTTCTCCAAGGGCTTTGCACTCAGCAGGCTAGGGTAACTCTTCCCTCTCATCCCCAGCTCCATCATTATTTTTATCCATCAGACATAGGCCATTGTTTTTGATAAAAGGGAAAATTCTCCCATGATTCCATCACAAGTATTCCCCATTGAGAATCTTAAATTCACAAAGGCTTAATAGAGAAGAGGCATGACCCTTTAATGATAATATCTAATTAAGGAACTGAAGGGAGTAGGGCAATCTCATCCCAGGGAGCAAATGAGATGATTAGGAAAGCAGACACATTAGGCTAGTCAAGGGGACCTCTGGATCTTTGAAACCAAAGGAGGTTAAAGGGAAGGCCGAGTTTACCAGCCCAATGGAGTGGGGGACCCTGAGTTCACTCTAAGAAGCCCTGGGGCTGGAGGTCGGGCCTCTTGCTGATTTGCACACATGTGTGTCAGAGTAGAATGCAGTCTGGGCAAGACCGACTTCTTTTATCCTTCCTGTCACTGTCTCTGTCCCTTCCCGCTTCTAAGAGAATTTTTGGATGAGTTGAGCAGGGCCTCATTCAGATTGCTGTCCCCTGCCCCCCAGAGGAGCCTTTGTTAGGCTGGAGACGGATAATGGCCTCTGCTTTCTCTCCAACTGTCTCTATGGGGCGCCTGCTGTGTGGTTTGGTCACTAATGCCTTCTCCCCTAATTGGGAATCAATGCTGCACACAGAGAGGTGAGCGCACTCTTGTCAGGAAGGCAGAGGTGGGGGGCTGGGTGCCTCCCCAGTCCCTGGTCAGCTAGGAGGGGCTAAGCACCTTCCAGGGACTGCTGCCCTCTTGCTCTTGCAAGCCTCCCCTCCACCACCCCTGGTGGCAGCTCACCCAAGTTGCCAGTGCAGAGGCAGTTGTGTGTCCGAGGCTGGGGCTTGGTCTGGTGACTGTCGAGGATCTGCTGCACCAGCTGTTCCACCGAGAAACCGGAGCTGCTGTTCCCATTGCTGCATGTCCACTTGATGCCATGGACTGTGGGGAGAGAAGAAGACATCTCCTATCAGAGGCCACCCAGTGCCCACCCAGCAGGTGGCCATCACTCTTTTCAGGTGGCCAGATCTGTAGGTGAAGAGAATGGCATGAAGGGGGGAAATAGGAAGGAGGGAAAGACAGACACATTATCTGAATGGGTGGGCCTCCAGTGTGATGGGGGCAGGTGACATGGGCAGGCTCTCTAGGGACTATTTGTGCAACTGATGCTTCCCTACCAACTGCCCTGCTTTCTCTCTCTTTCTCTCCCTCTTTGGTATCTTTCTCCCCTTCTAGTTCTCTCTCTTTCTTTCTCTCTCTCCTCTTTGTTTTTTTTTGTCTCTGCACCTCTCTCTCCCTCCCTCCCTCCGTCCATCCTCCTCCTCCTCTTCCTTCTTCTTATTCTTCTCCTCTCTCTCTCTCTTCCATCTCTCTCCCTCCCTTCCTCTCCCCTCTCTCTTTCCTCCATCTCTCCCCCTCCATATATCTCTTCTCTCTCTTCATCTCTCTCTCTTCTCTGTTTTTCTCTGTCTCTCCATCACTCTCTCTCTCCCTCCCTTCCTTTCTTTCCTCCTTCTCTCCCCCTCCATCTCTCTCTTCTCTCTCTTCATCTCTCTCTTCTCTTTTCTCTGTTTCTCTATCTCTGTGTCTCTCTGTGTCTCTGTCTCCTTTCCTCTCCTTCCTCCCTCTCTCTTCCTGCCTTCTCCTTTTCTATTTCTTGCTGCTCTCATTTTCTCCCCCTTTTCCCTTCTTCATTGTCAATGGGATTTCTCAGTCCAGTAAAGACAACCGAGAATGTATGGCTGCTGAATCCTGAGTTGGGGTGTCTTAGGGAGTGGGGGTTCTCAGGGCCTTCATCCCATCAGACCAGATTATATCTTAGTCCCTATGCTTAGAGACCACGTGCTGTGCTGGTCTCTCATTGTACTAGTAAACTGTAAGTTCTAGGAGGGCAGGGACTTTGTGATACCTCATTTGTATCTCTTCCAGCCTTTAATCCAATGCTTAATACAGTAGGTGCTTAATAAATATGTGTTGAGGTTGTTATTGGGGAAAGGACTAGGGGACGGTCACTTTTCAGACATGACTTTTTGTGGCTTTGGACAAGTCATTGCACTCTTCTGGTCCTCGGTTTCTTCATCTGTACAATGAAGTGCTGACATAGACTGTTTCAAAGACTCCCCTCGCCTTTGTCATTGTTTATTCAAAGAGCCCTCCTTGCTCTGACATTCTATGTACTTGGTATTCATCCTTCATGCTTGAGAAAGACCGAAGGGACATCACTATGTCGGGGTCAAGGTACAGCATGTCCGACTGTGGCTGATCAGACCAATATGAGCTCAGAAGACTCTACCACAGGTCAGGCACAAATAATCCATGTGAACCTTTGGGGTGGATTCTCTAAATCTGCGCATGTCACATTTCTTTTGAGCTACTACAATTCTTCTTTGTTCACAGAGCACAGCACCTTCTCTGATGTGGGCACGCCATGCTGGGCAGTCTCGTGCCGGTGTCTCCCATGTCTCACAATCAATTCCATGGTTCTTTAGTGAGACCTAGAGAATGTCCTTGTATCACGTCTTCTGACCTCTGTGTGAGCGCTTGCCTTGCGTGAGTTCTCTATAAAATAGTCTTTTAGGCAAACGAACAACGTGGCCAGCCCATTGGAGTTGTGCTCTTTTCACTAGAGTTTGGATGCTTGGCAGTTCAGCTTGAGAGAGGACCTCAGTGCCCAGTACTTTATCATGCCAGGTGATCTTCTATGTCCTGAGACCGCTCTCAGCTGATGTTCTATAGTCAAACACCCTTTCCAATTTTTAAATTCTTTGGTCTATCTTAGACCCTTCATATCCAAAATTGAACTCATTACCTTTACTCTCAAACCCACTCTTTTCCAAACTTCCCTTTTACTGTTCAAGGCCCCACCATCTTCCCAGTCCCCAGACTCACAACCTAGGTGTCCTCCTTGACATGTCACTCCCTCTCACTCACCTTATCCCATCAGTTGCCAAGTCCTGTTGATTCTGCCTGTGCAAGGTCTCTCACCTATGCCTTCTCTCCTCTGACACTGCCATCCCGTTGGCACAGGCCCTTATCACCTCATGCCTGGACTGTGGCAATGGCCTTCTGTTGGCTTCCCTGCCTCAGGCAGTTCCTTACTCTGGTCCAGCCTCCACTCAGGGCTCAAGTTGATTTTTCTCTTCACTTTTTTTTTTAAGGCAACTGGAGTTAAGTGACTTGCCCAGGGTCACACAGCTAGTAAGTGTCAAGTGTTTGGTCTGAGACCGGATTTGAATTCAGGTCCTCCTGACTTCAGGGCCGGTGCTCTATCCACTGTACCACCTAGCTGCCCCTGTACCACCTAGCTGCCCCTCAAGTTGATCTTTCTAAAGTACAGATCTGACTATGTCACCTCTCTATTGAAAAACTTCAGTGGCTGCCCATTATTTTTAGGGTCAACTGTAGAATCCTTTGGCATTCAAAGCCTTCCAAAATCTAATCCCCTCATACCTTTCCAATTTTCTTACATCTATTTTGCTGTCCTCTACATATCCTGAAATCCAGTGACACTGGCCTCTTCATCTCCGTGCTTCCTCCTCCTCTTTTCCTCCTGGCATCCTTTAAGTCTCAGCTAAGGCCCCACTTCTTGCAAGAATCCTTTCCCTATCTCCCTCAAAGTTAATGCCTTCCGTCCATGATCATCCTCCATTTCTCCTAAATATATCATGGTTGTTTGCATGTTGCCTCCCTTATCAGACCTAGAGCTCCTCCAGAGCTGGGACTGTTTTCGGTTTGGGGATTTTGCCTTATTATTATTATTATTGTTGGTATCCCTAGTGCTTAGTACAGTGCCTGGCATGTAATAGGTGCTTAATAAATGTTCATTGACTTGATTTTCCATGTCTAATGTGCCCCGTGTTTCCTGGTTCTTCCCAGCTTGATGTTCTATGTTCTGGTTCCAGTTCTGGCATCCTATGATTCTGTGGGATCCCCTCTGCCTTTCTTGCCTTATCTTCTCACACAGCCTGCATCCTCTGAAGTTATTGCTATGTCTCTTTGCATCTACAGATGCCCCGTCACTTAGCTTTATCTGATGTTGATGGGATGATCCTTACAAGTTGTCAGCTTCTGTGGCCCTCGTGTTTCTGGGCAGAGGTCCACACATCACAGGATGCAGACCAGGACTTTCCCTTGAGTACTGAACTGCTACTGATGGAATGTGGGAACTCTGAGCCACTAGGTGCCCTTGATTCAATTAAATGAATATTTATTAAATGCCTACTAAATGCCAGGCATTGTGCCAAGATAAAAATAAGAAAAGGAAAGACAGTCTCTACCCTCTAAGAGCTTATAATCTAATGAGAGGAAGACAACACAAAAAGGACAGTGAAGGGGTGGGGAGGGAGCCCTAGTGGGGGCATAATATTCTGTGGATTCAAATCGAGAAGAACTGCTGCTGAAAATGAAGAGCTGGCTGGAAAGTTCTGGAAATTCTGAGCCCTCTCTCAAGGAAGGCTTTGGGAGGCCACCAGTCCCAGGAGAGAGGGAATTGAGAAGGTGAGAAGAGCAAAAGGGGGGTCAATCAGCATGGTGGTGAGATTTCAGGTGATTGGCTTATCCTGGGGGAGTCACCAAGCAGAGCTGCTGATGGAAAATGGAGAGCTATCTGGATAGTTCTGAGTCCTCTCTCAAGGAAGACTTTGGGAAGAGTTTATCACTCCACCCTCCAGCCCTCCAGTCAGAGAGGAGAGGACCTACCTCTTAAGTAGACTCTGTCTAAGCTGCTCACCCTGCTCTGGGTAACTGGAGCTTAAGGGAGATGAGCTGGGGACTGACTTTGATGGAGAAGTCCACCACATGACTCTTGTTCTGGGAAGGTCCTTCAGCCAGTGAGGTTTACATCTCATCCTTTTCTAGTTCACCCTTCCCCAGGCTTCCTATAGTGAACCAGTCATCAAAAGCTCAGAATTTACTGCAAGCATCATAGAATCATAGTCTTAAAGCTGGAAGGAATCTTCTCTAACCCTGTCATTTTACAGATGAGAAAACCGTGGCCCAGCTGGCATTCTGGCAGCTTTCAGACTAGAATACTTGTCACACATAGGACCACAGATTTAGAGCCGGAAAGGACATTAGTGGTCTACCCTTCATTTTATAGAAGAAGATATGGAAGCCCACAGAGGTTCTGGGCTGGTCATTATGGCACCTTCCCACTCTGATATTCTCTGATTCTGTGATTCGCCCAATCTCATGCACGGGCAAAGCCAAGATTTGAACTGAACCCAGGTTCTTCTGACTCCAAAGTCAACACTCTTTCTACTCAACTGTGTGGGCATCTAACTCTCAATCCACGATCCTTTCCAGTCTCAGGCTTTTTTTTTTTTCTTAAGCCTGAATTAAATTCGGGTTGCCCTTTGGAAAATTATGAGGTCCTCGTGGGGTAACATGAAGTTGTTTTCACATCTTCCTCTTAACTTCCCATCATATTCAAGTTCTTTGACCTGAACTATGGTTAGGGCAAAAGGCTCTGCCTGCAATCTATATGCCTGGAGGGTTCCTACCCCATTTCTCCCTGACCTCTTCTCTGGCCAGCCTCATCTCCTGCTCTCTCTGACTCATTGTGCAGGAGAATGTCCTCCCAGTTGGGAGTTGAGCCTGTGATGGCTGTGATGCCAGCGCCAGGGTGAGGTGAAGGGGGAACCTTTCCATGATCCGTCCAGACCGCTCTGGTCATTGGTCTCTGGCAGTAAGGAGCTGCCCCCATCCTCTCCTCTTCCTAGACGGACAAGGTTACTTCTTTAGTTGCCATCCAGGGGTCCGCTCTCATTGTGTTCATTCTACTGCATGCTCTCCTCCTTATGTTGTGAAGGTTATAAAATGAAAACCCAGCGAAGGGTGACAGATTGCAAGCAGAGAATTTCTGGATGCTTAATGCAAATTACCTACTTCCTGGCACATCCAATATGCAGATTGTCTCCCTCCCCCTTTAAAGGAAAAAAAAA